AGGGTTTAAGGGTTTAGGGTTTAGGGTCTGTGAACTTTAACTACAGTGGACAAGTTCGATATGACACCAGCCAATGATTTTGCAGGCCCCGAACTGGAATCTGCAGGGACGTTTAAAACGCAACACCACCAATAGCAAACCACAAAAGATTGCGGCTGTATTGCTTGAAAGCCCATTCCATTTAGCAAGCGTTCAACCCGAAACACCGAAATCGGCATCCTGCAGCAACTGGGCGAAGATGGTTCGAATCCACTCCTAGCATTGGGTTTCGGGTACAGTTCTCAGGGATTAGGGAGTACAGGTTGGGTTTAGGGTCAAGGGCTCTGTAAGGGTGTGGGGTTCTGCGTTCGGTGCTTCCCTGAACCCTGAAAAACCTACAAACTTGTTTTGTTCGGGCTCCTGAAGCCATGTTGGGGGAACAAAGGATCCTTCGTGGAGAAGTAAGAAACAGTTTTGGGATACGAGACCTCCCGAACACCTACATAGGCCCATCTTTCGTCCCCCTAAGAAACTGGACGAGTAAGTAAACATATACCCAGAGGGTCCATACCCTCCCCATTATGGTTCTGGGGACCTAATTCCATACTAGAAGTGTATATGGATCCTCTGGCATAAATCCGAAGCCCCACAGAGCATGGCTTGGATTGCCAATACGGGGCCCGATTGAATGGATCCTGCTTGTTGATATTTAAAGTCCATCCTGGGGTCCTAGAAGTTAGGATTAAGGGGACCCGCGAAAATCTCGCCGTGCTTTGTTTCGTATCGCAAACTTCCGTTTTCTGAGGACTTGGGACGGCCCATGGGGTCAGGCTGTAGGGTGCAGGAAGAGATTCGGGCTAAGGAGTTAGGGTTTCGGCTTTTCGGGTACAGGATAAGGATTAAGAAGTAACGTTAAGGGTTTAGGGATAAAGTTTAGTTCAGTTTGTTTTCTGCATTTAAATCTGCGCCTTGAACTCTTGACCCTACACCACTAGCCCCCAGCCCCCTCAGCCCTAAATTCCCTAAATTGTCCACCCACAACTCTCAACCCTAGAAACCCTCAACTCTACACCCTAGCTCTTAATCCCAACGCCCCCCAAAACCTTAGCCCTTATTAGTGTCACAATATAATATGCCCTGAAAACTTCCAATTAATCCGGCCCTCAGCTCTTGACCCCAAACCTTGTAATCCCAAACCCCCTGAACCCTATAAAAGCCCTCAGCTCTAAATCCCAAACCTTAATCCCAAACCCCTAAACCCCAACCAAAGCCCTCAAGCCCAAATCCCTTAAGCACCCCCATAAAAGGCCCTAAAACCTACCCCTAAACCCTATACAAAAGCCCTAAACCCTTTAAACCCAACCCTCAAGACCCTAAATCCGATAAAACCTAAACCCCACACCCTTATGGAATCCCTATAGATCCCTTTAAAGGGACCCTCATCACTCTACTTATAACTACCCAAGCTCCAGCGCCAGGGAGCCTCCGTGAAACTCAGGAAGTCGAGCTCGATCTTCTCCTGTCCAAAGGGCCCTCAGTACCTAAAAAATATACCCCCCTTAGAACCATAATAAAAAAAATATTTGAATATTCTCCTGGGCTTAAAATGAACAAAAACATAAATAATTCCTAGGGAGACTAAAGTACGGTGATCTACGAGTAATTATAAGTGGAGTAGCTATGATGATAACCCATATTTGGGGGGGCTTATAACGCAGGAACCCGATTAAGAAACCTTGGGTCCCTATTAGGGCTCTTAATATGGATCCTGCTATTATGCGGTTAAAGGGCTAGGGTGTATTAATCAGGTACATTAGATTGTAACATGTATTCTTAGGGTTTAGGGTTTAGAGTTTAAGGATATGGTTTGTATACTAGGAGTTGCTGTTACATATGACTTGGGAAAGTATCCACCCATAACAGTACCTGTGACCCCAACTGCGCAGGTGTAATTTGGGGGGTAGCGTCTACTCTGTTTGGGGTTTAGGGGTTTGGGTTTAGGGTTGATGTAACTTTGGGCTTTAATATATAGTTTTAACTTGACCAAATTTGGAGGGTGTTAGATTGTGGTGATTTAGAAACCCCTGCTTACTACGGCCTGATGCTGATGCAGCCCTGAATATCTGGTTACACTTGAAAATGCTGCGAGATGGTGTCTTATGTTTTCCAGCTCATTGGGTTTCTCGTACCTGGTGTTGTATACGTCTTCGATACGGTTTGATAGAGCTTGCGGGGCCTTGTAGAGCTAATATAGGGACCTCAATACTTAAAAAAGGGTTTTGGGGCATATTACAGTACAATAATCATAATGAGGAACCCCCAGAATAGTATAGGAAGTTATTAGGTAGCGGGCGCATACGGCGCCACGCGACTTCATGCTTTTTTAGTAGTTTTACAGCACATTTCCAGGCATGTTGATGCTGTTCAGGACTTGGCGGGGGTCGGGGGTGGGTGGGGGATGGGGCGGAGGGCTTAATAGCGTCCGGCCGCCGCATATCCTCTCGAGTGTGCATTTGCGAGCCGGTAACGATGATGATTATGATCATGGTCATGACGATTCAGATGAAGTCTACTATGATGAAAACAATGACTAGAATCCTAATGACGGCAATATTGATGTTGTTAAAGACGATGATGACGCTCATCAAGATGATGAAGATGCTTGAGATGAGAAACATGCTGATGACGGTAACGACGATGATTGTGTTCCTGTTAATGATCATTGCGATGATGACTAATCTGATGAAAGTGACGATGACAAATCTTAATGACTGTGAGAACGATGTTGATCATGACAATGGTGAACATGATTAAGATTGTCATGATGCTGATGTTGATGACAAAGACGATAATGATGCGGATGATGCTGTTGATGACATTGCTAATCGTAAAAATGAAACAGTTTCCGCGATGTCCTAAAACCCTGTTTTTCGGAGAAATCGTGCCAAAACCACAGTTTCTCGCACATTCTAAGCGCGAACGCAGCGTGGCGCATGGTGTGCCCGTACCCAATTAGTAAGGCCCCCCATACTAACAGCTTTGAAGCTTATACAAAACCCAGGGCTCCTTGAGGTCGCCAGCAGGGCAATACTCCATCACGATGATGAAGTACCTCCACAAACTCTTGGGCTCTTGGAAAAGGGTTTTAAGTTACCATAATAAGGATCCCAGATTATGCAAATGTGGTACTGATCTCTATTATGGTAACTTAAAGTAAATTCCTATATAACAAGAGCCCAGCTTCTCGTGGCTCAGGATCTCAGAATGGTCCGGGTTCATAAATAGGGGCAAGAACTTGGGCCGCTGTAGAAAGGCCACTATGTAGGGTAGCTGTCTAAGGTGCTGCCGGCTTCGCAAATAAGAGCTACTATGACGCTCCTGGATGCTTGACTAGGGAGTTCGAACGGGTGCAAGTTGACCTCGGCCTCAAGCCCCCACACCTGAAACCCTTGAGCCTACTTGGAGGTTCATGGGTAGCTATAAGCAGGACTAAGTCCCCGAATATGAGTTATAAGTATAGTTACCCTACTAATAACTCCACCTATAACTAGTAGGGTTTAGGGTACACCCCGCACCTCTCACTCTAAGAAAGCTACACCTATAGTCCTCGACTCGATTGGGCTCCGTACACCCAGCAGAACCCTGCAAAACGATCTCTTTTCCCAAGAGAGCCACAGGCATCTGCATGTGGGGAACCAGCATCTCCATGAACTTCGAAACAGATGGGAAACTTACGGGCTCCTTTTTTTGGGGCCTTCATAAGAAGGCTCCTGCTATTTAGGGCACCATATCAGGATCCCCTATTTTCGGAAACTCCCTAATGGCCCTGGCATGAAGGCCTGGAACTTCAGGGCTGGATCCTTAAACTTTCTTTCGGGCAGTTTTAGGTTTCGGGATTTTAATAATTTAGGTTTTGGGATTTTGGTAATTTTAGGTTTGGGGTTTTATTAATTTTAGGTTTTGGGAGTTTGGTGTGAAGGTCAGTTCGAGGTTTGAGGATCTTGCATCTTAGGGGCCTGGGGTCCGGGAAAGGTTTTTGAGCTGAGAGATTCTACGGTTTGGGGCTTTCGGGCGTAGTAGTTAGCGTTAGGGAAACAGCAGCAAGGCCGTTCAACTGCAGGCTCTGCAGGGCAGCTCCGCATTTCGAAAACGGAACATGTCTAAATTAGCATGCATGCACAGATGAATGGATAGAGCGATGCGTGGTTATACATGTATGTGTATATGTGTGCACGTGTGTATATGCATGAACGTATTTCAATGTCGTTCAGACATGATTTTACTCTATGCATGTGGGCCAAACACAGATGGGGGTTGAGCTATGAAACTCAGGAATTTCCGGCCGGGTTTGTGCTTCCATGCAAGCTCAGGAGATGCGATTTGCATTATCAGAGGCAGCACGTTGACTGCATCATTCTACACGCCCTCACGACTGAAACCCTCCTGCTTCCGGCGTCTCTTCAAGAAGATGTTCGGATAAAGACCCGAGCGACCCTAGATAAGATGTTCAGACCCATTGGCACGCAGGCCTGCGTTTAGACAGCAGCAAAGGCCGCAAAGGGCTTACATCTCCCTAAGGGTCCATGTGCCCATATAGAGATACATGAGCCCCAAAGTACCTATATAGGGACTACATTAAGCCCAATGTATATACTATATGAGTACATGGACCCTGAGGGTCTTATGAAAAAAACAGCTGAAACATGGCAACCATGACGCCGACACGACCTAAACAACTGCCAACCACCCACAGCCCACAGCGTATACATAGTTGCTGAGCTTCGTTTCTGAAGACGGTGCTAGCCTTTCACTATGGTCGGTTTGCGTGTGTTTGTATATATATATATATATAAACAAATGTGAGCTTGAAAGGTTACAGGGTACCGTCTCAGCTACAAAGTACATTCCCTAATGATAAGGGGTCCACATCTCAGAAGCAGCAATTCATGCACCCTCAAATTACCGTAATACTACCCGACGCACCCGAAAGCCGCGCTAGTTCGAAGTGTCGCCGCTCAGCACTAGCTGTCGACGAGGATAGCCCTGGACGTGATCTGCTGGCGGCTTCGATAAGGACGCTGGTTTGGGAGCTCCTATAGGGGATGTTATGGGATTCTATTATGGCCTCCCTTTAGGTGTACTATAGAGTTCTATACTAGGGGTTCCTATGAGGGTGGCTTTAGCAACCCCTTTCTGGGTTTAGAGCTCCTTTCAGGGATAAGCTAACGGTGGCAAGGGTGCCTCTAAGCGGTTTGGGGTTTAGGGTTTCGAGGGGGGGGGGGGGCGGTTCTAGAAGGACGACGACAAGGGCTCAGTGTAGGCGTTTGCATTTGCTCAACAGGGTTGCTTCAGGAATTCCTTTAAGGCATATGTAATCTCAGGGTGCTCTAAAGGGGTTCTTTTAAGGGAAGGGTTTATAAAGGGGTACGGCCGTGAGGGATATTTTTAGGGCCACAGGGGGTTGAAGTTTCAGACTTTGAGAACGACCCGATGTGAGGGCTTTCAGGGCTTAGGGTTTAGAAGGACTTTAAAGGGTTTTCGTAGGATGTTGACAGGGCGGCTGTAAGGCTGTATAGGGCTGCTACAGGGTTGGGAAACCTGCTATATGGGGTTTATAAGGTCTTGCGGGGTTGAACTTTTATGGAACTTCAGCAAAACCTTTCAAACTATATACCTGTATGAGTAATGGAGGCCTGGTCACACTCAGCAAATTGGTATTCAGGGTCTAGTGGAGAGTAGTTGGGGGTCTAGGAAGTGGGGTCTAGAGTTTATTTAGTTCAGGTTTGGGATAGGCTCTAATCCCAGAAAAGGAAGCCGACAGCCGAACTCATACAGGATACCGGATATCCGGGCCTTTCGAATTAGAATACGTGAGGTTTTGGTGCGAATCCTAATGTGATTAAATAACCCTAATTACCATCTGGGGCATGTAACGGGGTACCACTCCATTTTAGGCCCAAGTATTCCGAGAACCAATTACAGGCAGACATCCTGAACACACGAAGCCTTCTGTCTTCAAACTCCCCAAACCCATGGAACAGGCCTCGCTGGTGCATCAACGTCATAGTGCTTCATGGGCAGCTTTGCCACCGGGGCCTTGAACAAGTAGTCCTGCCACCCGCCCCTCACTCCTAGATCATTGTTGGGAAAGGATAAAAAGTTCATGTTTCTTCCTTATCGGGTTTAAGTACCCAAAACCCTAAGCCCTGAACCCTAAACCCTGAAATCCTAAACCCTGAACCCTGAACCCTAAATCCTAAACCCTGAACCCTAAACCCTAAACCCTGAACCCTGAACCCTAAACTAGGTGTGCAGGAGCACGGAGCCTCGCAGTGGTGTACAAGGACGTCTCAGAGGCTGGGATGAAGGAAGCTGGGGCAGTCGAAAATTGAGGGTTTACCTTCACCCTGAAGTCCCTACCTTTTAGGGTTCCTTTAAAGGGATCTATAAGGGTTCTATAGAGGGTTTAGGGTTTTAGGGTTCAACAAGGGTTTAGGGTTTACCTTAACTCTGAAGTCCCTACCTTTTTAGGTTTCCTTATTATGATTTCCGTGTATAACTCCTCAGAAAGGTAGGCTCTTCCGGGTTAAGGTAGGGTTTTGTGTTAGGGAAGTCCTTCTGCATGGGACCCTCAATCCTACCTACTATTTATCTTGGCTGACTTCTGAACCCCTCCTAAAAGTTAAACTTTCAGCCTCCTTATTATAGTTAATATAGAAACCCAAAAAGTTAAAGTCTAAAGAGCCAACCAGAAGAACGCCAAGTTATCCCACCCTTGTTCTAGATGAGGCCTCCGAAGTTCTGCCCGGTTTCTATTCTACTAGGATACCCAGTAACCTAAGAATAAAAGGGCCTCTCTTTTTGGTATTGGGTAACTTTATAAGGAACCTAGGACTACAAAAAGGGAATAAGGGTACTACTGGGCCTTCCAGCTATTCTAGGTCCTGGGTTTGACACTCCCCAAAACACCACATGAAAGGCGAGGGCAGACAAACCTCCCACTCCTAACTCTCGCTTTATGAGGGCTGTGCAGAAGGTCAGGTTCTTGGGGAGTGCACCTCAATTTACGGTGCTGGAACCCTAAACCCTCAACCCCTAAATCCTGAACCTATAAAACCCGAACCCCAAACCTAAAGCCTTGCTTGAGGGCTTGGGTATCTTCCGACCCGACCTCGATGAGGACATAGTCGAGGTCGGGCAGAGTGTCCAACATTTCAAGGCTTTCCCTCACCTCGGGCTGGAAAGGGTTTAGATTAGAGTTTAGGATTTGCGTTTAGGGTTCAGGGTTTATAAGGGCTAAGGGTTTACTTTAGAGTTTAGAGTTTAGGGTTTCCCTGATGCCTTGCTTAACGATTCAGGGTGCAGGGAGTTCTGGCCTAGAGATGACGCTTTAGGGTTTAAGATTAATTCTTGATTATCAAGAACCGCTGGCTGACCACACCACAAGCTACAGAAGCTGGCGCAGGAATCAAGCCGACAAACAGGAAGATGCAGCAGATAAAAAATTGTAAAGAAGGCGTGGCAGCCACAATAGCCACAACTATAAAAAAAACACGACTACCTAAACCCTAAACTCAACCGTTAACCCTACTCCATTATTTTTCGTACTTGTCCAGTACCCTGGGGAAGTTAAGGTTAACCTTTGGAAGTACACTAACTAGGTCTTGTTTAGGGGTGATGGAGGGAATATACTACCCCAAAATCAAAGAAGTTAAGGGCCACCTACGACTACTGTAGGTGTTTGATGTCAGTTTCATCGCCAGGCAGCCGTGTTCACGATCGGCTTTCCACCTAAGGTGCGGCAGCTGGACTCCGAGTGAAGGGGTTGATGCCGGGTCAGTTTAGGGTTTAGGGTTAAGGGTTTAGGGTTTAGACCCCCGGGAGGATCCAAAAAGTAGGTCCCTTCATGGGGGTTCCTATATAAAGTACCCTTAGTAGTATAGGGCCCCAAATTGCGGATCTACTTTCTAGATCCTCCCGGGGGTCTGGGTAGTTCTTGTCACGACCTTTGCCTAATACCCTAAACCCCTAGAGCCTAGACCCTAGGTTCCCTTTCGATATTGACAGCATGCTTTGTAGATACAGGCTTTGTACAGCATAGCACCACAGAGACTGCCACTATTAATGGGGGAGAGCCAGGGCCCAACGCAGTTTTGGGTTTGGCGATGCTGCTGATTTACGGCCTTCTGAGAATCTCTCGAAAGCACCAAAGGCTACTTCGAGGATTGATTAGACAAGTGGTTTGGGGGTGTCATGCTTTGGATCTACTAGGAAAATTGATTGGAACAGGAACAACATTACAAACTACATAGTCAGTCGCATATGGCGACACCTAGAAACCCGAACGAAACCCTCAGCAGTAAACCCATATCCCCTCGTCTCCTTATATGGGAGTTTCCGAAGACAGGGCACCCCAATATAGCACCCTAAATAGTAGGATCCTTGTTATAAGGATGCGACAATAAGGTACCCCTAATTTTCGGAAACTCCCATATAGAAGCATGAAGAAAAGCACAGCTGCGTGTGTTGAAGCTCGTGTTGATGAGGGCGGCCAACCCTGTCAGATTGCCTGTCTTCAAGCTGAAAACCCTGAGGGGTTAAGGGCTGCTTGGGGAATGACCGGACATCAGATTCTACTATTTAGGCAATTAGGGTTTAACGTAACAGCTCAAGGTAACATCAGGAATGACTTGGTTTGAAGCCTTGGAGGAGGCTGTCCTTCACGACTCGAACTGTTTGCTTCGGGTTACAAAGCTCGCTGTGCGCAGAGCTTGGGATTGTAGGAACCCCGAGCCCCAAATCCCAGGACCGCAACCGAACCACACACCTCCACACCCGAGACCATCCAAACCACAAACCTTAAAAACATCCAAATCTGAAGCCTTGAGCCGCAGACCCATAAGGGAGTTTCCGAAAATTGGGGGCACCTTAATTTGTGATCCTTACACTAAGGATCCTACTATTTCGGGTACCCCTATTGTCGGAAATTCCCATAACAACCTCAAGAACAGCCTAAACATTGGAACCCCAACCTCAAAAACCCAAACCTTGAAATTACTTCTCGCAGGCGGTCGGAGATCCGTATACAAGAAGCCACAAACACAACCGACCAGAACGAAAGAACGTAACAACCACACGGAAACCCAAGAGCCGTAGATAGAACCTCATGGAGCCTTTACAAAGCACTCTGGAACCGGTCCAACCTTTACAGCCTATAGAGCCCATGGAACCGTTAACAGAACCCCGGTAGATCCCATGGAACCTTAATGATTTGAAGACCCCGATAGAACCCGTAGCACCTCAAATTTATAGAGCCCCACCCATAGTACCTTTATAGAACCTTATAGAACACATAGTACCTTCATAGCACTCCAGAGAACCCATCGAACCTTTATAGAACCCTCCCTAAACCCTAAACCAAAACTCTAAACTCTAAACACTCATAGAACCTTCATACAACCCCACATACACTTTAAACGTTTGACCCTAAAGCCGGAACCTTAAACCCTACCCCCCCCCATAGAACCCGTGGCACCTTTATAGACCCCCGCCCCCCCCCCCCACCGGAACCCATTGAACCCTAAACCCTATAGTATAACGCTTATAGTAACCCCCCATAGGAGTCTTTAAAGGAACCCCATTCCCTACGAAAAACCAGACACTAAAGGAGCCCTTATAGATCCCTTTGTAGGATCCCTTTTAAAGGAACCCTAAGGCCATTCCACCATTCCCTACTAAGAACCAGACAGCCTTCTAAGAACCCTAAACCCTATAGTCTAACCCTTATAGTAACCCCCATAGGAGCCCTAAACCCTAAACCCTAAACCTTAAAGGAACCTTAAAGGAACCTTAAACCCCACCCCCACCCCCATAGAACCCGTGGCCCTTATAGTAACCCCCATAGGAGCCTTTAAAGGAACCCCATTCCCTACTCCACCAGTCCCTACTAAGAACCAGAGATCAAAGGAGCCCTTATAGATCCCGTTATAGGACCCCTTATAGGATCCCTTTAAAGGAGCCCCATTCCCTACGAAGAAGCAGACAGAAGAACAGCCCTGGGCGCCCAGTGGCCTACTGCCAAGAGGAGCTGGTGGATCCAGGGCTCCTCGGTTTCTTCTAAGGTTTTGGGGTTTAAGGTTTAGGATTTCTAAAAGGTTTAGGATTTCTAAAAGCTTCCCGTGAAGGTTTAAGGTTTAGGGTTTAAGACTTAGGATTTCTAAAGCTTTAAGTTAAGGTTTAAGGTTTAGGGTTGAAGGTTGAAGGTTTGAGGTTTAAGGGTTAGGGTTTAGAGTTGAAGGTTTCGGGATCCTGTCAGTGTTCCTTTGAGTTGAACGGGCTTTCGGAGTTAGGGTGGCTTTTGTGTTCCTCCGTTCCTTTCTGCGTTCCCTGAAAGGCGCTTTAGGGTTTAGGGTTCGTTGAAAGGTGGTTTAGAGGCTTCCGTAAGGCTTCCTCGGGTTCCACGAGTTCCTCCAAGGTTCCTCAAACTTTGGGAAACAAGCTCCGACGCCGAACCTGGAGGCACTGAAACGAAAAGCTCAACTTGACCACCCCACGAAACATGGAAAGCTAAACGGCTTAAGGACTGTTTAGAGTACAGAACTAAAGGCTTTGAGGGTTTCTCCTTACAGGTGCAGGTACACGCTCTCAAGAACGTAACGTATCCAACCAGCAAGATATAGATATCCTCCATCCAATGCATCCTGGTAAAGCCTATTCAAACCCTTAGCCCTGCTCCAGGCCGCAAGCCCTACACCCACGCCGTCTTAACGCTCATGATGCCGTTGGTGCGAATTCAAAAGCCCTAAAGTTATTTAGCATGAAACGATAGAGACATTACGACTTAACATGAAACGATGGAGAAACTACGAGTCATCCCAAATTGAATTGATACCTGGTGCCGGACAAAGGCACCTCCGACGCGCCCACGGACCTCAAGGAAACTCGCACTGTTCGGTCTTTCAGCCGGCTCAGGAGCTCGGGGTTGCAGAGGCAGTGTTAGAGTTTAGTTATTGTGTTTGTATGGGCTCTTTTCTGACATCGTACACAGGGTGTAAGTACACACTGACATTGACCTATGCCCAAGACCACAGCAGAGCTTCAGCAGCGCACTAAAACACCAAACGAATCAACAACGCCCCCCCCAAAAAACGCCTTCAAGGTTAAACCCAAAGCCGGAAGCCCCAAAGTCTCAAGGCCCCTAAGCCCTGAAAGCCATAAGCCCTAAATGCCCCAAACCCCAGCCCAAACCCAGAGCCCGACAGATTTTCCCACACGCTCCAACACCCGAACCGAACACCTCCTTGAACCCAGAGCTCTTCGTAACCTTAAACCCTAAACCTCAGGACATATATAAGGAAATCATATTAATGAGCCCTAAAAAAAGGGGGTTTCCTAAAGTCCATGTAAACCCTAAACATCACACCCCCCCTTGAGGATCGACCCTGCAATTTAGGGCTAAGGGCGTTTCTGGCCCAAAGCCGAAAAATCCTGAAGCTTCAACCCTATAAGACGTACTGTAAACCCTGCATCCTAAACCCTAAACCTAAAGCTTTCAGCCCTAGAAAGGCGCTTGTTTACTTTGCCCCCCCTAACTTGACTGGCTTTCGCCTACTGCAAACCTTTCCAAAATACACGGTCCTTGTTCTTCGCTTTACCCCCCCCCCCTCCCCCTAATGCGATTTCTTCGCGGCATAAGAGCGCGGAGTTTGATACCTAAATGCCATTTGCAAACCTTTCCAAAACAAGCTTTCGTTTTTCTTCGCCATACCCCCCTAATACGTCTGACGTCTGGCCTTCGCCTTCACAAGATGTTTCAAGTATGATTATTCCTACTTTCACTTTTAAACCCCCTACTGCGTTTTCGTGTGGCTTTCTCCTTTATGTGTGCCGCAAAGAACGCTTTTATTCATTTCTTCGCAGCACAGTCCGGGGGGTTTGGGGGCTTGGGGGGATGCAGACTCTCCCAAACTCCTACATCTCGAAATCCCTGATCCCTGAACTGCTGGACCCTTGACCCTGAACCCTAAACCCCATTGGCCCATTGGGCTCTATGTCTATTGGGAAGTTCAGACTCTCCCGAACTCCGACATCTCGAAATCCTAACAGCTGGAGCCCTTTAGAGAAGCCCTCGAAGTGAAACTGAAATTCCCAGACTTCAAAGGATCCCTGAACTAAGGAATATACCCTTTCAGATTTCCTTAAAAGGCTCCCTCCTTAAAGGGATCTTTAGAAAATGAAGGAATATAGGTTAACATTACGATAGGATCCGGAAAATGATTTAAGGTATGTTCCTTCACCAAGAGGCTTCGGAGTTGCAGAGAAAAAGTCGTCTTCCAGCGGCCTTTTGCTTACCTTTGGTTAGTAGGGAATGGGGCTCCTTTAAGGGATCTACAGGGGTTTAGGGTTCCTTTACAGGGATCTTTACCTTTGGTTAGTAGGGAATGGAAGAATGGTAGTAATAGTGGTTATATTTTTACCCCATTCTTCCATTCCCTCCTAACCAAAGGTAAAGATCCCTTTAAAGGAACCCTAAACCCCTATAGATCCCTTAAAGGAGCCCCATTCCCTACTAACTAAAGGTAAGCAACTTTTGCCGAGGTGCTGATGTCGCGCAGTGCCGTCGAAGTGGACCATGCCCGGGAACTTTTGGCGAATCTCCTGACACGACGCCCGATAAGACTGTTACGGTTTAGGGTTTAGGGTTTAGGGTATGGGTCTGGGTTTCTCTAAACCGTATATATACTTTAAACACCCAACTTGCAAAACACATCTGTGGAACCCGAAGGGTCCATGTATCCATGCAGTCAATGAGCGCCTTGATAATTAGAGTTGGGCTGAACAGGCTTACTGATTCCTCTGCCACTGCCGATACAATTGCTAGTGCAATACCACCATCCCAATTGCCATTCTGAAGCTTGGTGCCATCATCTTCTCGATGAGAACCGTTGCCACTACTATGCAACGACTGTGCTCATGTTTATGACTTTTTGCTTTACTATCCTAAGGCAGCAGTTGTCGGCACCGCTACTCTCCCACCAGCACCATTGATGATACTGCGTGCCCCTGAAACCCACGAAGCTGGACACTTAAGCTTCAACCGTCATCCTGAAAGGCCCCACTCCTTGGCCGCAAGAGTTCTTAAAATAGTAGTGTAAGGCCAAAGCATAGACTGTACACAGGTGCATGCAATCCAGCAGCAACAACACAGACTGAAAAGAGAAGGAGGCAAGGTCCGTAGGGTAAACTCCCAATGCTTGCTCTTCTCAACGCACCCTAAACCCCTAAACCCTAAACCCCTAAACCCGAACTGTCCTCGCGAACCTTCGGCGCCTGTGTCAGTTGCACGGTTGACAGTTTTCAGGGCTAGACGTTCAGAATTTAGGCTTTCGGTTTAGGGTTTAGGGTTTACGGTTTAGGGTTTAGGGTTTTGGGGTTTAGGGTTTAGGGCTAGACGTTCAGGATTTAGGCTTGTTTGGCTTGGCACCCTAAAAACCTCAACCTTAAGATAAGATCCTAAACCCCAAACCCTAAACTCCAAACCCCAAGCTGCAAATCCTGAACTCCAAACCTTAAATCCTAAAGGTCCCCGCTAAGGCTGCATAAAGAAGCGCACGAATCTTGCCTTCTACGATTGGCGAAGTAAGTGCAGACCTCTGACGGTTTAGGGCTTAGGGCTTATATAGCCTGTAGAGCTTAGGGTTGCAGAGGTCGAAGGGGTTGCTGCGATCCTAGAGGGGATTGATAATCAAATATTTATGGTTCAGGGTTGGGTTTAGGGTTTAGGGTTTAGGGTTTCGGGTTTATAGCCTAAGGTTTAGGTTCTAGGGCACTTGTCAGATGTGGGCGGGTGGCCTGAATCGAAACCTGCGCGCCGGAATCTTGGGCCTGAGGTCTTGGGGACCGAACTTGAAAGGTTCCTGGGTAATTATAAGTGAGGGTTATAGGAGTTCCTTTAAGGATCCTTTAAGGGTTCTATAGGGCTTAGTGTTTAGGGCTTAGGGCAATTATGAGTGGGGTTCCTGGGTAAACTAGTTGCTGAGTGCATAAGCCCCCAAAAATTGAACACTTCCAGTTTTATAGTGGGTAATATAATCCCCAAAGTGTAAAGTGCATTCACTCAGCTACTAAGGTAATTATAAGTAAGGTTATAAAGTGAGGTAGCTATAATTATAACCCGTTATTGGGGGACTTATAACCCCACTTCATCTAACTATCCATGAACCTCCAAGTAGTACCTTGAGTTACCTGTCCGGCATTTCAGGGGATTCAAGAGTTAGCCTTTGGAACTACACACGGGGCATGACACCCCAAAAAAAAATGAAGGGCAGAGCAAGCAAACTATTGGCCCTAAAGCTTGGGACTCTCCTTCTAGAGCAAGTCTCTTTCGGCAACCTCTCCTCTTTGAGGACTTAGACGATCCAAGGGTAAAAGGAGGGACCCTTAATAAGGACCCCTAGGTATATACTATGATATACCCATTCTTATAGCCCATTATAGGGTAGGGGTCCCCATTAAGGGTCCCTCCTTTTAAGGAGAGACCTTGAGCCCTGCCCCCCAACCACTCCTGTCTGAAGCCCTACGGTTGATGATATAAATCCTGCATTACCTTAAGGACCCTAAACTATGGGAATTATGGTATATTCCTTATTTTGGGTAATGCATTACTCTTAATATAAGGAATATACCACAATTCCCATAGTTTAGGGTCATTATGCTAATGCAGGATTTATATCATCCACCGTAGGAATTAAGAAACTCACAGGTGCGTCGAAGGTCGTTGCCAAGCAACACCCTGAATCCTACACCCTAACTCCCAAACCAAAAACCCTGAACCCCTGCCCTAAAACCCTAACCCTGAAACACTGAAGCCCTCAGATCCTGAAGCAATGTGATCACCCGAAAAGTTGCTCAAAACCCTAAAACAGCCCTAAGTCCTAGACCCCCCTTAACTAAGGAATGCCCCTTAAACTTATGATAGGAACCCTAATCAGAAATATAGTATATTGCTTATCTAAAGGTTTTTTGGGAGTCTCCGCACTCAAAATAACTCTGATCTCAACCATGACTCCCGCAACAGCTGAAGACAAAGGCTCCCAAGTAGTTTGGGCGGCGGCGTCTCCGGAAACTCTGGCAAAGTCTGAGGATATGGCGTAGCCGGCAACCACTCTGACGGCGGCGCCAGCTCTGGAACCCCAATAGGTCCATACATAGTGGAAGTCGGGCTGCACAAAGCCTTGAGAGCATGGCCAGGGCATGAGAAGGCCATAGCTATCGAGTCCCACATCCCTTCCACCTCCGTCGGTGGTCCAAAGATGTGGCTCAGAAGCGGCCTTGGCTCCATCGGGTCCACAGCCACACGCGCTCTTCCAATAGTCGCTGCTGCCTCCCATCGTCGAGAGCTCTCGTAGCGGAGAGCCCGGAGCAGCAACTGAGTTTCGGAACTTAGTCCCAGATGTGGGGGACACAGGGACCCCGGTAGCACATTGCTCTGCAACCCCTTCGATGGGGGCAACGGACCTTCTTGGGCCACATCCGCACGCCGACGCTTTGGGTCCGGCCATGCCTCTATTAGGGCCTCAAAAAAGCACATAAGCAACAATTAGGATAGGGATATTTCATATAAACCCCCTAAAAATGAAGGTAGGGATGCCCCGATAACATGCTTGTGCTTATGTGCCTTTTGGGGTCCCGATCTATAGCAGGAACCACCGTTCGGAGTTGGCAAACCATCCCGCCATTACAGAAGAGCTCAACAAAGGAGCCTCCGTAAACTGTACATCCTACCTGGAACACCTGAAGACTTGAAGAGGCCCTCCTTAAAAACCCTTAAAACCCCTCAACCCCTAAACCCCACAAAACCCTAAATCCCTAACCCTTCGACCGTCAACCATTGTCCCTTAAAGCCCTAAACCACATCTGAGGCCTTCTCCATGAAAGGAGCCTTGATCGGACTGCCGAAGACCTGAACCTCGGCAAGAAACTCTTGTTTGGTAGCGATCTGATTCTAAAGCTTACCTAACTGGGTTTCAAGTACCCTGGGAGAAACAGCATAAACCTTGTTCCTTTAAGAGAAACGTATTAAAGTACGCAAGACAAGGGAAACAGGAACGGACGATGAAACATATCCTGTTCCCGATTTGGTGGCTACACTTTTGAAACCTGGTACGGTTTGTATAGGGGCCCTTCGCAAAAGTGGTTCTGGCAGGTTGAGGTATGGAGTATTTCCCAGGAGCTTTATTATATCAAAAACCCTAAACCCTAAACCCTAAACCCTAAACCCTAACCCGTGTAAAAGAATCACCCGTGTAGGAACCTTAAGGGAACCCCTAAAGGGTCATTATAGAAGCCTGAAAACAACCCCCAAAGGACCCTGATCCCCACCCCCCTCAACCCCAAAACATGGCATAGGCTAGGAGCTGCCCCCACCCTGTAATAGTGACCATAAGGATTATATTGGGGATTATTAGGGCCCTATTATATTCCTATTATACCACTATTACAGGGTGGGGGCCCCTTCTAAGGCCTAGGTCTCAGGTACTCTGAGGATGTGGGGCCTCGGAGGTGCAAGCGCCTATGCGCTTACCCAAAGGCTCCCAAGTACCTGCTGTAGTGGTTCGAATGTAGAGTTTCTATAACATGAACTACATCTGACCTATGGTTAATCTACGTAGCTGAATGTAGGGTGTCTATAGAAGGAACTATCATCATCTTTTGAGACAGTATCCAACCAAAAAGGTGCCTAGGACGCTTTGGGTTAGGGTCGGCGATCGCAGCTGCACTGGCTTGCGCAGTATTCCGGACTCGCTTCTTTACATTTCTTCCCGAACCCGGGAAAGTTAAGGGTTTAGGCCGACCGACGCTCAAACCGTAACCCTAAACCCTAAACCCTGAGTCCACAAGCCGTAAGCTCCATAAGATACGAACTCGTAAGTCACCAGAGACTCCAAGACTTCTGAATTAAGGAATATATTTTCCTGAAGTCTTTGTAGTGTTCCGTTATATGTTTTTCAAGTACCTATTCCTTTATTAGCGTTTTTTTGGAGTCTCTGGGTCCACCAGGAAGGCCAGCTGAAGTCCAGGTGGCAAGCGCTTCGTCCGCAATCATGGGGGCTATTGGCCGATACCTGAAGAGAGTCCCAGACCCCTGGGAGGATCCAAAAAGTTTCTGGAGGGACTTGATCTTATTTTGGGGTCCCTATAATAGGGGTCCTACTATTTAGGGCACTAAATCAGGGTACAGATCCGTTACGGGGGATTGCCACGGATAGGAGCTAGGATTAGGGGGACCCTTGGAAATAAAGGCCCTCTCAATAAGGTCCCAGTGTAAGAGGGCAAGGAGCAGGGTGAAGAAGGGTCCCCCTTTTAAGGGATCTCCCTAATGCTACCTAGGAATACAGTAGCCTTCAGTAGGTTAGGGTCTTTAACTAGGGGCTCTGTTTTTTGGGTCCTTCCCGGTGTTTGGGCAGAGAGCTTTTTAGCTTGGGCTGTGTGGCACGAGTTGGGGGCTACTGGGTTGAACGTTTTCTGGGGTTCATAGTTACGGTATTATATGGGGTTCAGGGTTTGGGAAACTCTTCTCACTCCTCTGAATTTGTTTCGGCTTGCATGCCTACCTGGTTCAATCAATCTGCTCATCGTCACGTTCCCTGATCAGCACGATGAGCCGTCCGCGCTACACCCCGGACCCGAAACCAATTCACCCGCTCTATTCAAGAACGGGCTGGCCTAGGGCGACACGCTCTTCCGAGCAATGGTGCTTGTGCCGCTTGGGGCTTTTTGGGGTGTTGGTGGGCAGAAAACGAGTGGGAGTGTAAGCAGACTATGTATCTTGATGTGGTGGTTATTCGGTGCTTGCTGACTCTCAGGAACATCCCAATATTAACGGAACCTGTTTCCAAGTTGCAAGCAGAAGACACAAAGAGGATACAGGTGCGGTACTAATCAGACAACGTCCCGCGAACCCTCAGCTACTATTGTCAGGCCTGTCTGAATTTCCCCACATCGTGGTCATACAACCACCAGATTCTTAGGATTGCAATACCGAGGTTGGCTGCCTGGACAGCGCCAAAGCCTCTAGTAGCAATGAGATTTCAGAAACAATTGAGGTTCTGTGGCAGCATCTCTGAATCTGTGTTCCACAGACACCGCGAAAACCCTTAACAAACCTTATATATCCTAGCAGCCTGAAACGAAACCTTTTTACCACCCCAGAAACTGCACGGAATCTACAAGCTCGTAGAAAACAACACATGCTAGAGAGTTATTCTGACTAGAACCCACCCAATCACGCTACAAACGCTTATTCCACCCCATATCCGGAACCCCCAGACCCTACACCTGTAAACCCCCCATGCTACTTCGGATGACTTCCTGATGTCGCGCAAGGTGCCACTTGCGAAATTTCAGGCGGTTCATGCGCTCCTGGGCAGCGTAGGTCTAGAAACCTGTATTAGAATCGGGTGTTGGGGTACATTCGTCGTCGTAGAAGGTTTTGTGCTATATTGTAGTTTAAGGTTCGGGGATATAATTTCCAAAACGAAGCCGTCTGAATTCATGAACTCTGAGATCTCCGATTGATGTGACTGTTCCGGCCTTTATAATGGAGTTAGGGTGTCTTAGGGTAGACCGAAGCGTCTCAGAGAGGGCGTACCACGAGGTTTAGGAAGTTTTAGGAGCTTAGCTAGGAAAGCTTAGGGCTTATGGGGTTATAGGATTAATAGGCTTAAGCGTAGGGTCTACCTGTGGCCCGAAGAATATAGCCCCTGTCATTGGAAGACGTCAGGGAGTCATTGTAACGGTTCATGATATAAATCCTGCAAAGGACCCTAAACCATGGGAATTATGGTATATTCCTTATTATGGGTAATGCAGGATTTGTACCATCAACAGAAGGAGACCGAAAACTGTAAGTGCGGTTCAGGGGGTCGGGTTGGGATACTGGGCTTTCGGGATTTAAGGTGCGGTGCGTCTATGCTTTCAGGGCTTAGGATGCATGGGCCAGGGTTGGTCCTACCCCTTCGGTGGTGTCACTAGTTCTAGCAGCGCACCCATGCAGAGGATAGACAAGCCCCAGCTCTCAAATGCCAAAAACCAACACCCGAAAACCCTAAATCCTCAACCCTAAACCATGAAATCTCAAACTCAACCCTAAATCTTAAGCCCAAACCCTGAATCCTAAACCCTCAATCTTAAACCCCGAAAGCGCCAAATTTCGGGCCACCTTGGCCTGCTTACCGCTGGTGTTTAGACTTAGAGGCCTTAATAGGGTTCCAGTATGTTCCATTTATTCAAGGAACCTATCAGGGTACTAAAACATGGGGGACTAAATAATGACCAATACTACTTGGAGGGTTCCTTTAAAGCGGTCTATAAGGGATACTATAAGGAATCAATAAGTATTTAACCTGCAAAACAGGAGGTGAACACACTGCTGCTTTGACAGGGCACAGGGGCCAGTGCTGTGTTGCAAAATGCTTGCGCATGGCATCGCCCCCAGCTTAGATCCCCCTAAACCCTAAACCCTAAACCCCTAAACCCTAACCCCTAAAACCCCAACCCTAAACCCTAAAGGTTTTCCGCACCTCAGGTCCATGAAGAGCGAAGTTGAGTAGTTGTCAAAATTTGGGCCCCCTTTTTGGGGGTATCCTAAATACTAGGTGCCGTATGATAATAAGGACCCCAAAAGGGACCCTAAGTTTGACAACCACCCATATACCACTTAACAATAAGGAGCCCTGAGGCCGTAAGGAATAACCTGGAGGTATTTCGGCGTTGGTATTCCTTAACCCATAGAATACAAGCCTTACAGAAATCTTTCTGTCGCCCTAAACCCTAAACCCTCACCCTAAAAACAACAAACAAGACACCTTTGACTAGACCCAAGAGTAACCTAGGAATAAAAAGGGTGCCCTTTTTGGTCTAAAGGGGCTTATAAGGGAACCTGAACCCTAAAAAAGGGAATAAGTGTCTACTCTAGGTCCTAGTTGATCAGTTTCAAGGCCCTGGCTTTCATGGCCACCGAATCCGGAATAGCCAGCAGCGAGCGATGACCCAGCCTTGGGCAATGACAATGACATAGGAGCAGCCGTGGCTTGGGCATGTACTTTTGGTGCAGGTTTTTGGTTTGGGGGTTCAGGGTGTAAGGTGTAGGGTTCAGAGTTCAATTTTTAGGGTGTAGGGTTTACGTTGCAGGGTTCAGGGTTCAAGATTGAGGGTTTTGGGGCTATCTTGACCTAGACCCAAGTACAACTGCAAATACATGAATCTTACTGCGGTAGCATCTCCCAGGAAACTGCCGAGTTTAGCGAGTCAACTACGAAGCTTTATGTCAGAGACTGGAAGGACCGAGTTTGGAAACTCCAGCTGCCGTCGAGGTGCGCGCGCGGACCAAACTCCTGCCAGACGCGCTGCAGACCCCATACCTAGTTCCCACATCTTTAACTGATAAAAAGTTACAGGTTCAGGCTTCCTGAATCTGATCAAGCTCGATACGACCCGAACCAGGCAATCATACTGACACTGTTGGACTCTTCTCTGCAGGTTGATCTAAGCCAGAATTCCCTTAACTTCTTTCACCCTCAGGCTTTTGCCCTAAAGCTCCCAAAAAATACCTTCAACTGTCACTGCAGCTTCCCCTGAGCACTACACCCACAACCCTAAGCCCTCAATCCTGAGCCGTAAACCCTAAACCCTAAACCCCTAAATCCTGGGACCCCTCAACCCCTAAATCCCTAAGCCCCTAAAAATCCCTGAACCCCTATAAACCCCTAAACCCCCCATACACCCCTAAACCCCTAATAAATCCTTAAACCCCCACAAAACCCTGAACCCTAAACCCCCTTTAAGGGACCCCTATGAGCTTATGGGCTCGGGCTTTGAAGCCTCTCCCCATGCGTCCGAGTACCTGATGATAATCATACACTCTCCGAAATCCGAACCTACCTTAACCTACCAGAACCTACTTGTTTGTAGGGTCCCTATAAATCCCATATTAGGGTTTATAATAAGAGCCTACAAAAAAGTAGGGTTCAGTAGGTCTAGGTACATAACTACTATCTTCAAACCGAGTACCCGAATATTGGGTCCTCTGGAGTTTCGGCTCTGGGCTCCTACCGAAAGGGTCCTACGGTTGATGATATAAATCCTGCATGACCCATAATAAGGAATATACCATAATTCCCATAGTTTAGGGACCTTAAGGTAATGCAGGATTTATATCATCAACAGTAGGTACTGTTATGGGGGGGGGGGGGAGAGACTGTCCCAAATCATCATAGAAAATCATAGACGTTCCTACTATACCCCTACGAATCATAGTGGAAATTCGAAGAACTTCCTCTATACCCCTACAATTAATAGACATGCCTAGTATACCCCTACATTCTACTATATAGGTACCGGGAGTGGTATTTTTTGGTTTAAGTTCAATGATTGACAACACAACAACTGCGAGTTGGACGCTCCGTGAGGGTAAGGTCGATCATCTGGGTCTTGATTTAAAGTTAAGGGTAAGGGTACATGAGTGGTTCTGGAGCTGAACCCTACTTGGAGGATCATGGGACTTAGTAAGTAAGGTTATAAGTACCTTAATTGGGTCATAGGTAGTTATAAGTATAGTTAGCCTAATTATAACCCCAGTTACTAAGTCCCATGATCCTTTAAGTGGGAGCTCAGAACTTGCAGGAGACTGACCAAAGAATAGAATCCCGAATATAATATACGGATCCCCACAGAAGGCCCCCCTTATCTCAACAGAATTCTGAGTAGCAGGATGTCCATACAAGGCCCCCCCCCCCCCCCCCTAACACCCCTAACCTTAAGACGCCTCGATATCAGGGAACCTAAACCGCCAAACGACAGGCCTTAACCCTAAACCCTAAACGCCTAAACCCTAAATCCCCAAACCTTACCTTAAGAAGCCCTGCTTAAAGGATCATGGGAATTAGCAATTAGGGTAACTATACTTATAACTACTTATAACCCCAATTAAGGTACTTATAACCTTGCTTACAAAGTCCCATGATCCTCCAAGTAAACCCCTATAGATCCCTGTAAGGATCCTTTAAGTAGATCCTTAAACCTTACCTTAAGAAGCCCTAAACCCCCCACACCCTGAGCCCTCATGCCTGGCGACCGCGGACAACAGCGATCACGGGCTTCTCCGTGCGGTTCTGGTCTTTCCTCGGGTATGGGGCCCTCTGGGGTCTGGTTTAGGGTATGTAGGAGTTTAGGGGTTCATGGGTTTGGGGTTCAGGGTTTAGAGTTCATGGGTTCATGGGTTTAGGGTTTGGGGTTCATGTGTTTAGGGTCTTGGGCTTTACTATCTTCCATAAAGCACGAGGAGGTGTGCACGCGATCGCGGAATTGACAAACTGTCAGTCAGCAATGATTCAAGGGGGGAGACTGGAAGAACACACATACCCCTGGACAAAAGATTTAAGCGTGTGAACGGGTGACGGCAATCACGGCCATAGATCATGAAGAAACACACATACAGGAGCAGCAGCAGTAGTCTCGCCGCCATCATGATCGTCGTGGTGGTTGCGGCGGGGGTAGAAGTCCCTAAACTCTTAACCCCTAAACACTTCACCCCTAAATCCCAAAAACCCAAACCCCTAAACTGAATAGTAAACTGACATCTCGGGCTTCTTCAGCGTGAAGCCTTTATGGAAATCCACTTACCGGGATTGAGTTTTTAGGGGTTTGGGGTTCTAGATGATCTGGGATGGGCTTTGGCAGCCCTGAAAATTATTTATGGATCCGGGCTGTTTTTGTGCATCCATGTGAATGCAACACCAAGCAGCAATCACTCACTCTTTTTCTCCCGCGATCATGTGGAATGTGAACAGTGGTAACAAGAAAAATGCGACACTGACACTGGCAGCTCAGACGATGGTGGCCTGCAGGAGCAGGCAGAAACCAAAATCTGGCGTGACACTCTGACAATGGAAGAATTTGACACTCATTCTGTGTGGCCAGTACAATAACACACCCAATGCGCACCCCTCCATGCCTGCTCAAAGTTGACACTGATTTCCAGCTGGTAGGCCTGACATAATAGAAACACGTGACACTCATTCTGTGTGGCCAGTACAATAACGCACCCAAGACGCACCCCTCCATGCCTGCTCCAAGTTGACACTGATCTCCAAGACGAAGGCCTGCCATAGTGGATGCATTTGACACCCATTCTGTGTGGCCAGTACAATAACGCACCCAATACGCACCCCTGCCTGCCTTGTCACAGTTGACACTGATCTCCAGCTGGTAGGTGTGTCAACTTTGAGCACGCATGGAGGGGGCCTATTGGGTCCCAACACACACCCTCCATGCCTGCTCAAAGTTGACACTGATGTCCAGCTGGTAAGCCTGACATGAAGGAGCAATTGACCGGCCAGTACAATAACGCACCCAATACGCAAACCTGCCTGCCTTCTCCAAGTTGACACTGATGTCCAGGAGGAGGACCTGACTTTAATGGATTGACACTCATCGACATCCACTGCACCGTAACTGCTTGTCGACATGGTGACACTTGGCAGAGGAATCATCAACCAACACAGAGTAGCACCAGCCAGGCGGCGAGCGGCTCATTCAGACCTTGACTCTTCGAGCAGCTTGACGGTCTGTCAAACTGCTCGAGGAGTCAAGGTCTGAGAGAGACAGCTGACACTTCATTCCATGACAAAGCAGACGGTAAGCCTGACATAACGGAATCACTTGACACTCGTTCTGTGTGGCCAGTACACTAACGCACCGAACACGCACCCCTCCATCCGTGCCTTCTCTAAGTTGACACTGATGCCCAGGAGGCAGACCTGACTTTAGTGAACTGTCGTCGACATGGTGACACTTGGCAAACTTAAAGGTATCATCAACCAAAACAGAGTCATAGCACCAGCCAGGCGGCGAGCGGCTCATTCAGACCTTGACCACTCGAGCAGCTGGACGGTCTGTCCAACTGCTCGACGAGTCAAGGTCTGAGCGAGCCAGCTGACACTTCATTCCATGACAAAGCGAATGGTAAGCCTGACATAATGGAAACATGTGACAATCATTCTGTGTGGCCAGTTCAATAACGCACCCAATTCGCACCCCTCCATGCCTGCTCAAAGTTGACACTGATTTCCACCTGATAGGCCTGACATAATGGAAGCATGTGACACTCATTCTGTGTGGCCAGTACAATAACGCACCCAAGACGCACCCCTCCATGCCTGCTCCAAGTTGACACTGATTTCCACCTGATAGGCCTGACATAATGGAAGCATGTGACACTCATTCTGTGTGGCCAGTACAATAACACACCCAATGCGCACCCCTCCATGCCTGCTCAAAGTTGACACTGATTTCCAGCTGGTAGGCCTGACATAATAGAAACACGTGACACTCATTCTGTGTGGCCAGTACAATAACGCACCCAAGACGCACCCCTCCATGCCTGCTCCAAGTTGACACTGATCTCCAGGACGAAGGCCTGCCATAGTGGATGCATTTGACACTCATTCTGTGTGGCCAGTACAATAACGCACCCAATACGCACCCCTGCCTGCCTTGTCACAGTTGACACTGATCTCCAGCTGGTAGGTGTGTCAACTTTGAGCACGCACGGAGGGGGCCTATTGGGTCCCAACACACACCCTCCATGCCTGCTCAAAGTTGACACTGATGTCCAGCTGGTAAGCCTGACATTAAGGAGCAATTGACCGGCCAGTACAATAACGCACCCAATACGCAAACCTGCCTGCCTTCTCCAAGTTGACACTGATGTCCAGGAGGAGGACCTGACTTTAATGGATTGACACTCATCGACATCCACTGCACCGTAACTGCTTGTCGACATGGTGACACTTTGCAGAGGAATCATCAACCAAAACAGAGTAGCACCAGCCAGGCGGCGAGCGGCTCATTCAGACCTTGACTCTTCGAGCAGCTTGACGGTCTGTCAAACTGCTCGAGGAGTCAAGGTCTGAGAGAGCCAGCTGACACTTCATTCCATGACAAAGCAGACGGTAAGCCTGACATAACGGAATCACTTGACGCTCGTTCTGTGTGGCCAGTACACTAACGCACCGAACACGCACCCCTCCATCCGTGCCTTCTCTAAGTTGACACTGATGCCCAGGAGGAAGACCTGACTTTAGTGAACTGTCGTCGACATGGTGACACTTGGCAAACTTAAAGGTATCATCAACCAAAACAGAGTCATAGCACCAGCCATGCGGCGAGCGGCTCATTCAGACCTTGACCACTCGAGCAGCTGGACGGTATGTCCAACTGCTCGACGAGTCAAGGTCTGAGCGAGCCAGCTGACACTTCATTCCATGACAAAGCGAATGGTAAGCCTGACATAATGGAAACATGTGACAATCATTCTGTGTGGCCAGTACAATACCGCACCCAATTCGCACCCCTCCATGCCTGCTCAAAGTTGACACTGATTTCCACCTGATAGGCCTGACATAATGGAAGCATGTGACACTCGTCATTCTGTGTGGCCAGTACAATAACGCACCCAATTCGCACCCCTCCATGCCTGCTCCAAGTTAACACTGATTTCCAGCTGGTAGGCCTGACATAATGGAAGCATGTGACACTCATTCTGTGTGGCCAGTACAATAACGCACCCAATTCGCACCCCTCCATGCCTGCTCCAAGTTGATGATTTCCAGCTGGTAGGCCTGACAGAATGGAAGCATGTGACACTCATTCTGTGTGGCCAGTACAATAACGCACCCAAGACGCACCCCTCCATGCCTGCTTCAAGTTGACACTGATTTCCACCTGATAGGCCTGACATAATGGAAGCATGTGACACTCATTCTGTGTGGCCAGTACAATAACGCACCCAAGACGCACCCCTCCATGACTGCTTCAAGTTGACACTGATTTCCACCTGATAGGCCTGACATAATAGAAGCATGTGACACTCATTCTGTGTGGCCAGTACAATAACGCACCCAATTCGCACCCCTCCATGCCTGCTCCAAGTTGACACCGATTTCCAGCTGGTAGGCCTGACATAGTGGACGCATGTGACACTCATTCTGTGTGGCCAGTACAATAACGCACCCAATTCGCACCCCTCCATGCCTGCTCCAAGTTGACACTGATCTCCAGCTGGTAGGCCTGACAGAATGGAAGCATGTGGCACTCATTCTGTGTGGCCAGTACAATAACGCACCCAATTCGCACCCCTCCATGCCTGCTCCAAGTTGACACTGATTTCCAGCTGGTAGGCCTGACATAATGGAAGCATGTGACACTCATTCTGTGTGGCCAGTACAATAACGCACCCAATTTGCACCCCTCCATGCCTGCTCCAAGTTGACACTGATTTCCGGCTGGTAGGCCTGACAGAATGGAAGCATGTGACCCTCATTCTGTGTGGCCAGTACAATAACGCACCCAAGACGCACCCCTCCATGCCTGCTCAAAGTTGACACTGATTTCCAGCTGGTGGGCCTGACATAATGGAAGCATGTGACACTCATTCTGTGTGGCCAGTACAATAACGCACCCAATTTGCACCCCTCCATGCCTGCTCCAAGTTGACACTGATTTCCAGCTGGTAGGCCTGACATAATGGAAGCATGTGACACTCATTCTGTGTGGCCAGTACAATAACGCACCCGACTCGCACCCCTCCATGCCTGCTCCAAGTTGACACTGATTTCCACCTGATAGGCCTGACATAATGGAAGCATGTGACACTCGTCATTCTGTGTGGCCAGTACAATATCGCACCCAATTCGCACCCCTCCATGCCTGCTCCAAGTTGACACTGATTTCCAGCTGGTAGGCCTGACATAATGGAAGCATGTGACACTCATTCTGTGTGGCCAGTGCAATAACGCACCCAATTCGCACCCCTCCATGCCTGCTCAAAGTTGACACTGATTTCCACCTGATAGGCCTGACATAATGGAAGCATGTGACACTCGTCATTCTGTGTGGCCAGTACAATAAAGCACCCAATTCGCACCCCTCCATGCCTGCTCCAAGTTGACACTGATTTCCAGCTGGTAGGCCTGACATAATGGAAGCATGTGACACTCATTCTGTGTGGCCAGTACAATAACGCACTCAATTCGCACCCCTCCATGCCTGCTCCAAGTTGACACTGATTTCCAGCTGGTAGGCCTGACAGAATGGAAGCATGTGACACTCATTCTGTGTGG